GCACACACACACACACACACACACACACACACACACACACACACACACACACACAGGCTGCAACAACCTATTTAAAACTTTGGCAGATCTTGGAACAATAATACTGAATAACATTTTGAGAACATGGAATCTTTTACAAGGTTAATAGTAATTTACTGGATGATCCAAGTAGGATCAAGTAAATTACTGTCAATTTTCTAAATGTTGTCTATAGAAGAAATAGGACGTGACAGAAGTCACTTGAAACATTGTTATGTTCTGAGGTCCACCACGTAACTCTTACAGAACTACATATGCTGCAAAAAAGGGAGGGTTGTTTTAGCTTTTCAGGTTATTACATTTTTTTTAAAGGGGAAAAAAAACAACTTATCAATAACATTCAATATTCAAATATTACAGGTAGCAGAAATTTGCTACATGTACTTCAACATCCTCAGCATTGAAAGCAATTTTTGTAAACTTAAATTCACACATGTAAAATATTTTATTATCCAGATGATTCTTAACTATAAATTTAGCACAGACTGGAAAATTAGAAATTCTAGTAACATAATAAATGTATTTCACTTACTTTACAAAATCCATAATTTTTAATTTGGTGACAATACAATGTTAGTCTGACAAAAACTTGTGAATTATTATATGTTCTGTAAATCATGTTCATATCCTCTTCCACCCATGCACTACAGATTGCTGCTTACAAATGAAAGAATAGGTTTCTCATAGAAATTTATTATTATAAGAAATGTGTGAGTATTTTGAGTCAGTTATTATAATTATAAATTGCTGCTTTATTATAATAATGTATTAACATATTTTAGGTTCATCCATTAGACTTGTTTGTATCAGAACATTTTAATGTAAAGTTTTGACTATGACCTGTTTTTTGTCAATTTTGAAATTATCTTAACCTACCAGTGAATTGTAGAATAAATAAAGAAATTACACTTTTAAAAGCTACTACCTGCATGAATATTTTTGTGTAGCTATTTTTTTCTTAATATGTTTATATTTGAGATTCACTAGCGCTGTAAAACATTACAAAGTAAATATTTTATTGTTCAGTTTCACTTATACATATGAAAAAAATGGATCCATTGTTATCATATACCTTTAGGGGGACTGCAAAATAAAAAAAAATATAACCAATGAATTCATTTGCAAAGATCTGCAGTCCATTATTATCATTTGTCTTGTTTTCTCGATTTGAACACATCTGCTTTGGGAATAGACATTTCAATTTCCTTCCATGTATAGTAGAAACATTTCACTTTATATGAAACACACAGAATATAAATACTTCAAAAATGTTTAAATATTTATAAGAAAGATTCTGGAAATTAAGCCACTGTGGCTTTACAGACAGCAAGGTTTTTTGTTGTTTTTTTTTAGGTTTTAGGAAGCACATAGAATAAAAATTATTTTTTTAGGCATTAAGAAAAAGAAAAAACCAAAAGTTGACAATTAAAGAGTGATAAATCAAAAGTGGTTAAACAAAACCTAAGAAAAAGGAAACTGATGGAAGGCACCATTTTTTTGATGCTCAATATTGGGATAGAATTTATAGTGTTCTAGTTGCCAAGTCACCTATAACACTCGAAAACAACCCATACTTAACATAAAGGAGCTGATTAAAAAGGCAAAGAAAAGTTAAAAATAAAACAAGGCTGAGCTTTGTAGAATGCCTTGAACTGCCCAATAGAACAATGCTTTACTGAGAAAGGTAACCACGTGGTATGTGTACACACATTTGGCATGACAACACAATTCTGCACACGAGTAGGAGGTTTTAACAAAAAAAAATCAGTGAAGCAGATTCTGACATGACTTCTTTAGCCACCACCTCACCAGTGGAGACCATCCTAATGTGGAAGCTGCCACTGTGGCTGTGCCAACGACGGAAAAATCAGTTGTGGTAGCACTCCCTAAAAAGATCATCATCAGGGCATCCACTTCCACCACTCTACCAGTCTCGGCTCCTAAGATGCTAGAGATGTAGCATTTCCCATAAAGTCCCTAATAAATATAAAACAGCAACTAACCTTGTAACCAGGTTGACAGAGGCTTGGGCACTTAATAATTGTGAGGAGGCCCATCTGTTGAAGCAGTGAGAGCCACCAATGCAGTTAGAGGAGAGGTGAGTCAACTCAAGAAATAACTGGTATGAACTTGGAAAGCTCTTGAAAATCTAGAAATATTGTATTCATTACCACTAAAGCTGTGTTGAAGGACTTGCTGTTGAGATTGTTTTATGTAAGTTGCTCTTTCTCCTGACTTAATTGAACATTTTTCTTAAACTATTCTCTATATATAATGCATAGTTAATGTTCAACATTTAACTTATTTTGGTATACTATATACATGTTTAGGATAGAGCATGCACATGTATAATTTCTCTTATTTATTTATGTTTGTCCATAGTTCTAGTTAAAGTTAAGAGTACTATCTTTGTTAAAGGATTTTAAATTTATATGTTGTTTTCTTTGTTTAAGGGTTTTCTTTATATACTTTGTATTTTATGTGTAGTCTTATTATGCTACCCATCTTATCAATGGAATAGGGGCCCGGCGTGGCCAGGTGGTTAAGGCACTCGACTCGCAATCTGAGGGTCGCGGGTTCGAATCACTGTCACACCAAACATGCTCGCCCTTTCAGCCGTGGGGGCGTTATAATGTGACGGTCAATCCCACTATTC